GCCTGTGTTTGAAGCCATCTCATGTGCCCTTGGAGCTGACTCCTAGGAATATGGGCCTCTGGTCCGAGTCTTTCAGGATGATTTTAGACACGGTCTTCTGAACCAGTGGTTTGCGTGTGAATTCTGGAACTATTTTAGGTGTGGAGGCATGTGTGTACCCTCTTCTAAACCAGGAGTGTGGCAGCTGCTGCAAATAGTAAGGCTCGAGCTGCTTGCTGTGTTTAGGAGGAGGCTCCCACATTAAGAGTCAAGAAAATGACAGCATCTGGGTAGGTCTTTAGGGGTGGCCCGCTCCCTAGAAGGCAGCTACATGGTGGAGAAGCCGGTTTCACCCAGAAGGGCCACCTGCCGGCATCTATTTCAGGATCGCCCTAAGAACAACCGAGGCACCAAGGGGCCCTGGGGCGCCTACGGGCTATCGGGGTGCATTGTGGTCTGATCACCTGCTCCGGTGCCACATCTGGAGAACAGCCTCAAGGACCTGTGCATTCCGAAGGGTGCCTTTGGTCGGAAGGCGGTGCCTGCTACAGAAGCAGGCAGTACTTCTTTTCTGACTACGAGAAGCACAGCATGCCTCTGTAATAGCCCGCTGTCCGGGCAGAGTGCATCCTTCCTGTGGGCAGTGAGCCCACACACCTGAGAGGTCCTTGTAGGTTCCGTCGTTGACATTGGCCGGGAAGTGGCGGGCTGGGGAGTGTCCTTCTGCACCGCCATCCTCCTGATTATTTTGCACTTTGGGGATTGCTGGGTGGCAAACACTAGTGTCTAAGAAAGACCGAAAAACGAACCAGCCCACACGCTGGTCCTTGAAGCCACACCTCCTCCTATTACCCAGCACGCCTTGCCTACGTGGTCGTGGGCTAGGAGTCTGATCGAAGCCTCTGCCTCGCTCAGCCCCCACGGTCCCCAGGAGAGCCAGAGCGCACCCTTGCCTTCCCACCGCCTGACACACGCGTTAGTTTTTGTGCTGAAGCAGAGCCTCCTGATTCTCTCCAGCAGTCTGTGGGAGAAGAGCATGCAGACAGGCTGTTTAAAGATTCCTGCTGTCCTTACAGATCGGGGAGTTCACCGTGGGCAGCTGTGGGAAGAGATAGGGAGGGAGAGGCTGGGCAGCGTAGCCATCTGCGTGGAGGTGTTTTATTTCAGGGGCAGCCCGGAGACAAAGTGCATGTTAGGAGAGGTCGAGGTGGAGGGAGTGGCTGAAATTATAGACTGTCGGTGCTGGAAGGGGCCTCAAGGAGATGCCATCCAGGCCATTTTTAAATGAAGAAACTCAGCGCCGGGGAGGGGGGGTTCACAGCTGGTTACAGTTCACCCCGCAGAGCAGGGCAGAGGCAGGAAGGGGCGTGTGGAGGCATCAAGGAGACGCTCACAAGGAAGGCAGCAAGAAAAAGCCAGTGAGGATTGGGGCATAAAATAAGCACAGGATTGACAGAGGGGACTAAGGACTGATGTGTCAGAGCTGCCCCAGTCGCTGGACTGGACCAGGCAGGCTGTCCCTGTTGCTGGAGGCACTCATTAAAGCATGCACATCATACCCTGCTTTCTCTCCTCATCCCCCATCTTCTCTGTGTGTGTTTTTTTAAACATATTTTTAGCCGAAACCGGTTTGGCTCAGTGGATAGAGCTTCGGCCTGCGGACTGAAAGGTCCCGGGTTTGATTCCGGTCAAGGGCATGTACCTTGGTTGCAGGCACATCCCCAGTAGGGAGCGTGCAAGAGGCAGCTGATCGATGCCTCTCTCATCGATGTTTCTAACTCTCCATCCCTCTCTCTTCCTCTCTGTAAAAAATCAATAATATATATATTTTTAAAAAACATACTTCTATTGATTTCAAAAAGAGAGGGAGAGGGAGATGGAGAAATAGAAACATCAACGATGAGAGAATCATTGATCGGCTGCCTCCTATATGCTACTGGGGATCAGGCCCCGCAACCCAGGCATGTGCCCTGACCGGGAATCAAACCATGAGCTCCTGATGGGTTCATAAGTCGACACTCAACCACTGAGCCACACCAGCCAGGCTCTTCTGCATTTTCATAATAAATTAATTGAGGATTCGGCAGCTCGATGGGGCAGGCTTCTGCTGTCCAGAAGGCAGGAAGGCTGGGAAAGGACATGGCTCTGCTCGGCCCCTTCTTGCTCATCACCTGGGTGCTTGGTGGCTGAGGCTCGGGGCCCTGGGAGAGTCTAGCTTCTCCCTTTTGTAGCCTGGGGGTTAGTACACCATCAGCCCCGCTCAGCCTGTGCTGCTCCGGGAAGGAGGGGGGAGGTGACCCAGCCTTTGTCTGTCCTCACTGCTGACCCAGCCCTTGGAGGAGAAAAGCTTGCTTCCCGGGAGCATGAGGTGGGGACCCGTGACGCCAGGGTTCCAGCTGGAGACCAGCGCCATCAGCTCTCCCTCCTCCCTGATCGGTTCCCGTGTGCCCGTTCGGACTGTCAAGGGGAGTGTACACAGGTGTGTGAAGTGGGCTGGTCCCCCTGTGCCGCTGTTGCTTGGTTTATCATTAACCTAGACCTGCTGCAAGGGACAGAAGTCACTCCTTCCGCCTGCGCCCCGCCTGCCACAGCCAGCAGGCAAGGTGGGCAACTGCCATCCTGAACTCCTCCTGGGCCCGGTGGCAGATGCTGGGCGTGGGCCCTGGTAGCCTCGCTCAGCTGCGCAGGCTTCTGCGGCATGAGACTGCTGGCTCCCAGCTCCTGTGTTCAGCGCGCAGTGTGCACCGGCTTTGTGCTCCTGTGAACTCTGCACTTGGGGCTGTACTGGGCAGGAGGCCCCCTGCTGTCACGCACTTGGGGTGGGGGTGGGGGGGTCTGGGTGGCAGTGAGGCTGGGGCATGGGTGTCAGCATCCACCCTGCCCAGGGCAAGGTGAGCCCTGAGGATGTGGTCATTCACCTTGCTCCTGAGAGGCTCCTCCCCCCTAAGGAGCACCCTAAGTCAGAGACCCAGTGTTTATCTGAAGGGCTTGGTGCCAGTGCTTGTCCTGGGAGCCCACTCTGTCCCCATGCGGGTTAGAGAAAGCAGAGAGGGACCCAGCGTGGGCATAGGAGGCTAGGAGAGCCCAGCCGGTATGGCTCAGCGATTGAGCGTCGAACCAAAGATTAAAAGGTCACTGGTTTGATTCCCAGGCAGGGCACATGCCTGGGTTTCGGGCTTTATCCCAGTCGGTGCATGCAGGAGGCAGTCGATCGATGATGATGATGATGATGATGATGATGACAATGATGTTTCTCATGGATGCTTCTGTCTCTCTATCCCTCTCCCTTCCTCTCTCTTTAAAAAAATTTTTTTAAATCATTTAAAAAAAAAAAAGGCTAATAGTAAGGTCATGTGCACCCACAGGAGGGATACAACATTCACAGAGAGTTTGCCTCCTTTGGGCCTTTCACGCAGACTCCGGGCCTGTGTGTGCGTTATGCCTCCTCCCCAAGCCGTGGTGCGAAGGCGGGGGTGGTCCGGGCCCACACGGTGATGTGGCCCCTGGGAACTAAATGCGAGGTGCACAGCACAAGTACCCATTCCCTTCCCTCTAAGACCCCTATTCCTTTTACATTGTAACCAGGATGACAGGGTGCGTTTTCCAATCTACGAACATAGCTCCTGTGTTGTTGTTCTTAACCCTCCTTAAAATCTGTTATTAAAGTCATGGGTGCACCTTCCGGTCAATTCTTAGAATGACACAGATTGGGCTTATTTCAGCTCGCCCGTAGCTTCTCCTTACGACTTTTCCCACCTGGCTTCCTGTTTCACTGGAAAATCGCCACGTTATCTGCCGGCACAGAGTCAAGTGCAGCCTCCATCCTGTCTGGGCCAGCCCGTCATCTCATCTCTGGGGACGATTCTGAACACCCCCATGCTCTGTGGAGACCCGTGGCCATGGGGGATCTCCCCCCAACCCCAGAATAAGTGTCCCCGCTCTGGGACCGGGGGCTCTGGACACACTTGCTTTCCCTTGAGATCTGTTTGCTGCTGCTGTTTTTACTGAAACCACCTTCCTGTGCCTTCTAAACTATCTGCTGGCCAGGCCTGCTCCCGAGCCACCAGTGTTGGTCAAAACTCCTAGAGCACCACACTAAGAGGGAGGAATTTTGCTGTGGGTAAATTACACCCTCTATAAACCTGACTTTTTAACGAAATCCAGCCAAACTGCACACGTTCAGGTGTGTGGCTGCTGTTGCAGCGTTGTTTGCAAAATATGGGAAGCAGCCAAAGTGACATTCAATAGGGGACTGGATAAGTGGATGATGATACTTGCATGGGATGATATATGATCGATAGCTGTGAAATGGAACTACATAGATCTGTACACCTGCTGTGAAATATCTTTAAGATATTTGAATATATCTTTAAGTTGCATCCAGTGAAGAAAAGCCATGTTACCTACAGTGGGCAGGTTTGCTTTTTTGTGTAAATGTGTTCATTGATTTGATTGGCGTGTCTCCAGAAGGACGCGTGAAAAATTGCCGCCATGGTTTCCTCTGAGAGGGCCTGGGTGCTGAGGGCCGGGGTAGAAGGAAGACTTCATTGGCACTCTACACCATTTTGTTTTATTTGTTATCCTTGCTCAAGGGTATTTTTGCATTGATTTTTTGAGAGTGGGCGGGGAAGGGGACATCAATGTGAGAGACACACGTTGATCGGTTGCTGCTTGCATGCGCCCTGACGGGCCAGGGATTGAACCTGCAACCCAAGTACGTGCCCTTGACCAGGAATCAAACCCATCACCCTTCAGTGTGCAGACGGATACTCTGTCCACTTAGCCGCACCAGCCAGGCCTGTGCACTGTTTTCGCATTTAAATTGTTTTCATTTATGTGGACATTGTCATTTCGAGAGGTAAATAAAAATAAAATGAATTGCTTTGAGATAGATAGCTCGCTAGCTAGATGGATGGGTGGGTAGATAGACAGACAGACAGATGGGTAGTAGGTAGATGCCAGCCCACGGGGTTCTGGAATGAATGGCCCTGACCTCCAGCCTATTTGTTTCTCCATGTCAGGCCCGTCATCTGAGCCGCCTCACTCGCCCAGCAGCAGCGGGAAGAAGCTCTTTGCTCCTGTCCCGTTCCCTTCGGGCTCCACGGAGGACGTGTCCCGCAGCAGCCCCCTGCAGCCGCCGCCCCTGCCCCAGAAGAAGCTAGTGAGCCGGGCCGCCTCCTCGCCCGACGGCTTCTTCTGGACCCAGGGCTCCCCCAAGCCGAGATCGGGCAGCCCCAAGCTGAACCTCAGCCACTCGGAGATCAACGTCCGCGCGCACGAGGAGTCCCCCCTCGGCTTCTCCAGCCACGGCAGCCGCCACCATCACGCCTTCTCCTCGGAGCCTCTGGAGAGAGCGTTCAAGGGCAACGGCCACTGGGTCCCGGCCCCGGGGCTGGCGGGCGGCCGAAGCGGCAGCGGGAGCCCCAACCTGCAGGGCCGGGGGGTGCCCTCGGCCTCCTCCTCCCAGCTGAGCGTGGCCAGCCAGGCCTCCACCGGCAGCAACCAGCTGCAGCTGCACAGCCTGCTGAGCAGCATCAGCAGCAGGGAGGGCACCCACGCCAAGCTGGTGGGGCTCTACGCCCAGTCCCTGGTCCGCCTCGTGGCCAAGTGCGAGGACCTGTTCATGGGCCGCCAGAAGAAGGAGATGCACTTCAACGAGAACAACTGGTCGCTCTTCAAGCTGACCTGCAACAAGCCCTGCTGCGACTCGGGAGACGCCATCTACTACTGCGCCACCTGCTCCAAGGACCCCGGCAGCACCTACGCCGTGAAGGTAGGTACTGCCCTTGGCATCGGCAGCACCGCCCGCTGGTCCTGGCTCCGGCGGGACTGTGGCCGGAGCGAGTCCTCACCTCTCCGGGTTTCCGGAGGAGGGCTGAGTCCGAAGGTTCCTCTTAGCACTGAATGCTGGGTGAGCTCACTCTGCCTGGCGAAGGGCACAGTGCGGTGAGGTTTGTACTGTGAATGGATGATTCATTCTGTGCTTCCAGGCATGAACGGAGGTGATCTCGTTGGATTAAGATAGCAGTTGTCTTTTAATGCAACAGAGAGTTCCTTCATTTATTCAGGGGGCTTTTACTGAGTGCCTACGATAGGCCAAGTATTTCCTCAAGGTCTGAGTATAGAGAAGTGGACATAAGATTCCTATGGAGTTTACAGTCTAGCACAGAAATGGACAGTTAGGATATTGTCCTTCAGACAGTTAGGATATTGTTCTTTAGACCTTGAACAATAAGGGTAAGAGCGTTGACTGAGCATTCACTATACAACTAGACTCTTCCAGCTGCATGAACGACATGACCTTGAATCCTCACAGGGTAGGTAGGTTTCACAGATGAGGAATCTGCAGCTTAAAATGATTAAGTGACTTGCCCATAGTCAGCTGATGGCTGAGATGGATGCATTGTCTTGTCTACAACGCCTGTGCTACCATCATGTCAGTTAAGACAAATGAAGCTCAGAGAAGCTAAGTGATTAGTCCAAGGTAACACAGCTCTTTCATCTTTGCCCCTGGGTCAGGGTTGTTGCTGCCACACCCCACTGCTCTCTTTCATGCGGTTTCAAGCCCGCTGGTTGATCGTCTGCACACATCTGGCCATTTGGATCTTGGCCACAGACTTTCCGTGTGACTTCTTCATCTCCTTTCAGTGTGCCTTGCATGTCTGATGGGTCTGTGGCCCTTCTATAAGCATAGGCTTTCGGTTAGGAATGAGGAGGGGAACCCTGAACGCTTTTTTGCCATCACCTGTCCCAAGATGTTTTGCTTCCAGTTAGAAAAGATGTAAATAGCAAACTAACGTTAAATAGCCTTGGTGGGGCAGCTTCCTATGTATGAGTGACATTTTTTAAAAGATTACAATTATTGCCGAGACCGGTTTGGCTCAATGGATAGAGCGTCGGCTTGGGGACTGAAAGGTCCCGGGTTCGATTCTGGTCAAGGGCATGTACATGGGTTGCGGGCACATCCCCGGTAGGGGGTGTGCAGGAGGCAGCTGATCGATGATTCTCTCTCATCGATGTTTCTAACTCTGTATCCCTCTCTCTTCCTCTCTGTAAAAAATCAATAAAATATATTAAAAAAAAAAAGATTACAATTATTAGCCAAGGAAATTAGCATTGAATTTTACGTTGAGATTTTTCTTTTTAAGAAATTAGTGACACCACCCTAAATGATAGATTGGGAACCACTGATTTCTATGTTCAAGGAACTACATACAATTACTTGCTGCCTTCCTATGAATAAAAAAGGGGGGGGGAGGGGATGACTACGAGGAGGGTCCAGTGATTGTACAGAAATCAAGGCCCCGGAAGACGAGGGGCTGTGTCCAGAGGACAGGCACTACACAGAAGAAATCACCAAGGTCAGGAATGAGAGTGTGGACTTCCTGAAGTTCGTTGCCTCTATTTTTTTTTTAACTTTTTTTTAAAATATATTTTATTGATTTTTTTTACAGAAAGGAAGGGAGAGGGATAGATAGCTAGAAACCTCGATGAGAGAGAATCATCGACCAGCTGCCTCCTGCACACCCCCTACCGGGGATGTGCCTGCAACCAATGTATTATACATGCCCTTGACCAGAATTGAACCTGGGACCCTTCAGTCCACAGACCGATGCTCTATCCACTGAACCAAACCAGTTTCGGCTTCATTGCCTCTTTATATCTAACCCCAATAGCTACTCTCCTGGTAAGGTCCCTTCCCTGCCACTCCCCCAACCACGGTTAAAAAAAAGAAAAACACAATGCTGTCATTTCCCCTCCTATTGGGATGGTGCTGTATCCGGCAGAGGAAGGAGTGAGCGGCCCCTCCAGTGAGCTGAATGTGATCAGCCCCTTCCCACCTTCCACCCAGCGCCAGGGGTCTGTATCCACCCAATGAAAGGAACGTAGATGGAGATCCCTGAATGCACAGGGATGGAGGCGCCTTGAGGAAGTTCATTGTCGCTCGCCCCAGTGAACCTGAGCAAGGGAGCTGCGCATCCTCCCTCTGCGTCCGCCTTCCCGGTTCAAGGGCATCAGTCATTCTCCTCATCTTTGGGGCCAGTCCTGGGCCTCTTTCACCGTCAGGAGACAGATGGCCTCTCCATGTGAGCGGGAAAGAGCCTGGCGGGAGAGGCCTCGGCCCTCTGGCCCCGAGGGCGAAAGCGATGTGACCCTCCTGCAAAGAACCGAGGGGCCCCCTGGCACCAGATCTGCCAGGGTTCGGGGTTTTCTACACGTGACTGCGACGTGCAGCTTGCATTCTAGAACCTCCTGTCATAATGTAGAATCAGCTGCATTCTCCGGAGACGAGTGCAGAAAACCCAGCTGCCCCGGAGGATGTTAAAGGCAAGCGCTGCTTCTCGTTTCCGTAGGAAAGGAAACCCTGAAGAAACGGGGAGATACGTAGGTCTTGGTCTTCGAAGGAAGAGTGCCCCACGTGTTCCCCGTCTGATTTTGCTGGACCCTCGGCAGCGCAGGTGTCCTGTGGAGAGGGGGCTTGGGAGAAAAGCTGGAAATGGTCAGAGACGGGGGAACCGCAAGACCCGTTTGCACCTGTACCCGGCCTGGTGCTGGGGGGGGGGGGGGGGGGGGCAGGCCGGGTGTGAGCGTCATTTCGCACGTGCAGCTGTTCCACCTCATTAGCTGCCTGGTCTAGACGGGAGCACGGATGTCTGACCTCCGGAGAGGGGGAGCGGGTCCCCCTCTGGAGCCTGTCTGTCGCCAAGCTCATTTCATCTGCGCCTGGTGGGCAGGAGCCTCTGTCGGGAGCCTGTAGGGAGCCCTGTGGACAAAGGCCGGCTCGCACCTGCTCCCACTGATGCCGGGCCCTGGTTCTGGGGCTCGCAGCAGCGAGGAGGGGAGGCTGCTCTGTAGCCCTGCTCGTGCGTCCAGGGCAGGGGGAAAGCTATTAGTTGTGTGTGAGGTTTCGAAGCCAGGTTCATTCCTCAGTCACCTAAACCGTGGTCGGCAAACGGCGGCTCGCGAGCCACCTGCGGCTCTTTGGCCCCTTGAGCGTGGCTCTTCCACAAAATACCACGGCCTGGGCGAGTCTATTTTGAAGAAGTGGCGTTAGAAGAAGCTGAAGTTTAAAAATTGGCTCTTCGAAGACAGGTCAATCGTTGTTGTCCTGTTGGTATTTGGCTCCGTGGACTCATGAGTTTGCCGACCACTGGCCCAGAGCTTTCGTTGAGTGATTAGGGGCCTGTGTTGGGCGGCCAGCTGGGCCTTTTTCTCTTATTGAACAGACGTGACTTCGCCCAGGTTCTCCGCGGGGAGTGAGGACCAGGCTGCAAAGTTTAAAGGAAGACTTGGCTCAACCAAACGTTTGAAATGGGAGCTGAATCAAAGGTTTGTGTGAATGTCTTGAGCCAAAAAAAAAAAAAAAAAAAAAAACACCGCTGCAGACGCCTGAAAATGAAATGAGGGGGTGGGGCAGGTGGGGATGGAAAGGAAGCCGCCTGCCCCCCACACACACACCCGTCCCGGCCCTCCACCCAGCTGTCTGTGCAGCCAGATGACCTGACCCGCTCACTGGTTTTTGAACCACATCCAGCCCGGTTGCCATGGACGCTGCTCCTTCATTTACATCTCTGTGCGAACTGTCAGCGCTCCCCTGGGAAGCATTCGCAGGGCCCAGGCCTTGGAGACCCCGGAGAAAGGGGGGTCCTTGGAAACAGTGCCCATGCCCCAGGCAGCTGCGCCCTCGGTTGGTACAATAACCTACACCCCAGCTCTGGGGTGTGCACGGAGCACGGTTGCAGCCAAACCTGCCAGAGCCATCACCATAGCAACCTTCCCCAGCGACTGCTCACCTGGGCCAAGCGCCACACCCATGCTGAGAGCCACGCAAGTGCTGAGAGCCACACCCGTGTTGTGTCATTGAATGCTCCCAGCAGCCGCCAGGAAGGAGCTGATCCCGCCCTGTACAGGGGGTAGAAGGCAGACTTGGAGATAAATACAGCCAGTCCTCACTGTATGGATTCCATGTTGTGAATTCACTGCTAAAACATATTTGTAACTCAAATTCTTGCAGCATTTTTGTGGTCATTTCTGGACGTGCACAGAGCGGGGAGGATTGGAATCGCCCCATCTGCAAATTCCCAGCAGTGGTGGCACAAGGGGGCGCTCCACCTGGTTTCAGCGCTCGTTGTCAACAGGGTCCCTCCCGTGGTCCAGTGACTGCCTCGTTCTTCATAGTTTGGGGCTCGTTGGCAGTGACGATGCTGTTTAAGTGGCCAGGCTGAGTGCTGGGGTCCTGTCTGTCGCTCCTGAGGGCTGTGGTGTGCCTCTGGGAGAGCACTGGACCCGCTCCATGCAGGCAGGAGGTAAAGTGCTGTTGGCCGTGAGTTCGGTGTTAATGAATCAACAGCATCTGTTAATGAGGCATCTCTGAACAGAAACCCACATGAAACAGGGTTCTATGTTGGCCAGCTAATGAAAATGTTGTAACCTGAGGCTGGCTAGAACTTCCCTTTGCATGTCCCCCGGGAGCCGTGGTTCAGGATTCGCTAATTCGCTGTGTGTGGCTGCTTCTCAGAACAGAGCTGCTGCGAGCACCCAGAGCATCAGCAGCTTGTCAATGTTTGCAGAGTTTATGCGTAAACCAAGGTCTCTTGCACGCTCAAGCCCGTGCTCTGACTTCTCAAATTCTTGTCCGTTGTATAATCGTGAGCAAATGGAGCCTCTTAGACCCTCGGCTTCCTCTCCTGTAATCCCATCTACCTCATTTGGTGGTTGGAGATTGAATGGGATTTGATGCGTAGAGGGCTGAGTGGACACAGCGCCTCACGCACACAGGAGTTCAGTAGGTGGCATGTGGCTGAGATACCCTCACTGGAGGGAGTGACCCAGACATCAGCACTGCGTTTCCCATGTGCTCAGAGAGAGCACTGCAGGCCGGCCCATACCCAGTGGTTGGTATTTATATGCAAGACTATCTGTGAGGACCACTCCCCTAAATTTCCTTCAAGTTAATAGTGTTCCAAAAGCCAGCGTTTCTGTATTTATTTATTTGTAATTATATATATAATATATATATATATATATATATATTATATATATATGTACACACACATATATATACACATATATACATATATGTAATTTCAGAGAGGAAGGAAGAGGGGGAGAGAGAAACATCCATGATGAGAGAGAATCATTCATTGGCTGCCTCCTGCATGCCCCACACTGGGGATCAAGCCCACAACTGGGACTTGTGCCCTGACAGGGAATGCAACTGTGGCCTTCTGGTTCATTGGTTGATGCTCAACCGTTGAGCCACACGGGCTGGGCAGGAGCTGGCCATTTAAAAGCTAAAGACAGTTGAATAAGAAAGAGCCTGCAACAATGCCCTCTAGATAAAGTATTCCAAAATCATGTTTGCTGGCATAATGGAACCAAAGTCTGGGCTAAATGCACTTCCCTTTTATTTCTATCCCACTCCTATAGCAGAGAAATTACCAGATTAAAGTGTTACCTCCCTCGCTTCCCCGTTAGGTTGATAAAAGTTTCCTAAGAGGCTGAACTCTTTTGATCCCAGGTTTCGTGCTGAGAAGGGTTCTGTAGCTGCAGCATAAGTAAATCTCTGTGCAAAGTGCTTGCTGTGGAACTTCTAAAAACAGCCCCAGTGAGCCTGTGACCATTGCAGACACCGGAGCGGGGCCGCGCAGCAGCCTGAAGGGTTATTCTGGGATTGTCCGCTGGATGGTGTGTGCCGGGTGGATGCGAGAAGCCTTTCTTCCGGGGATTACACACTGATTCCTGCCTTCCACAAAGCCAGGCTGAGGCTGTGCACCAGCCTCGGGGAGAGGAGATCACAGACCCTCTTCAGTCCCTTTCGGGGTAATTACAGGGCACTGGAGGCCCACGGTGTCTGGCTTCAGGCTCTCCCGTTGTGTGGCGACCTGATGAGGATTAGTGTGGCTGGAGGGCCGGGTGGCTGGCGTTGTCATTAGTACAGAAAGGTGCTGAAGAGAGGGGCATGGGGATTCCCCAGAGGAGCTTGTGAACACCTGTGTGCTTACTCCTGCTTTCCACCCAGAGGGTGCCTTTGGCCCGTTGGGTTTCCTGGCTCTGGAGAGCTTTCTGTTTTCCTTCAGCTACTCTGACTCACGTGGCCGTTTCATTGAAATCAGCCCTGCAGGTCAGGCCAGCTATAATAGAAGGCAGTGCATCTGTACCCGGATCTGGAAACGAGGGCAGCCTCAGAGAATGTGGCCAAGGCCCACGAGCTTAGGGCCTGCATCTGCCCCTGAGGTTCCCGGGAAGGATGCACCCCTGTTGTCAGGCCGGTCCCCTGTCAGGTCACTGCCCATTCAGGTGCTGGGGGTGGGCAGCAAGGCTGACTGCCCGTGTCGGCTCTGATCTGGCTTCCTGAGGATCTGTCCAGCTGGCACCATGGGCAGAGGGAAGTCTTCCTACCAATGCCGGGGGCCACACTATGTAGTTGCTCAGGGATCCCACACTTAAAAAAAAAAAAAAAAAAAAATATATATATATATATATATATATATATATATATATATATATATATATATAAAATTGATTTTTTACAGAGAGGAAGAGAGAGGGATAGAGAGTGAGAAACATAGATGAGTAAGAAACACCAATCAGCAGCCTCTTGCACACCCCCTATTGGGTATGTGTCCGCAACCAAGGTACATGCCCTTGACTGGAATCAAACCTGGGACCTTCCAGTCCATAGGCCAACGTTCTATCCACTGAGCCAAACCGGTTTTGGCTGGGACTCCACTCTTACTGGTTGTGTGATCATTCTACTTTTCATTTCTTAAGAAATCGCCAAACCATGTTCCAAAGTGACTACACCGTTTTTTTACAAACCACCAGCCCTACATCAGTGTTCCCATTGCTCTTCATCGTCATAGACGCTTGATACTGTCTGTCCTTTTCCTTATGGCCATTCTAGTGGGCGGCAGCCAGTATCTCGCTGTGGGTTTGATTTGCCTGTCCCTAATGACTCATGATGATGAACATCTTTTCAGGTGCCTGTGGCCATTTACATATTTCTTTGGTGAAATGCCTGTTCATACCTTTGCCCTACTTTTTCATTGGGAAGTTTATCTCATAACTGAGTGATAAGAGTTTTTTTGTAAACTGGATACAAAGCATTTATCAGATATGTGTCTTGTCCATATTTTCTCCCAAGCCTTTTGCTTGCCTTTCCTTTTTATTTGTTTTATTTTATTTTTATTGATTTCAGAGAGGAAGAGAGAGGGAGAGAGAGATAGAAACATCAATGATGGGAAGAATCATTGAGCGGCTGCCTCCTGTATGCCGCTTACTGGGGATTGAGTCTGCAAGCCAGGCATGTGCCCTTGGCTGGAAGTGAACCTGGGACCCTTCCGTCCAAAGGCCGACACTCTAGCGGCTAGAGTCTAGCCACTGAGCCAAACCAGCTAGGGCCCTTTCTTTTTTCTTAAAGGTACATTTTAAAGCAGAAAAGTTTTGAATTTTGATTGGGTCAAACTTATCCATTCTTTCTTTTAGGAACCATGCTTTTGGTATGGTATCAGATGTCTTTGCTCAACCCAAGATTCTTGCCTCTGTTTTCCTCTAACATTTGTGTGCTTGGACCCTTATACCTAAGTCTCTGTGACCATTCTGAGTTCATGTGTGTGTGCATGGCGTGAAGGAAGTTTCACTTCACCTTTTCACGGGGGGGATTTCCAAATGTCCCCAACACCGTTCGTTGAACAGAGAGGATGGATCCCCCTCTTGACCTCGCCTCTCCTTTCCCCCCCGCAGATCTGCAAAAGCCCCGAGCCCAAAGGGGCCTCCTACTGCAGCCCGGCGGTGCCCGTGCACTTCAACATCCAGCAGGACTGCGGCCACTTCGTGGCCTCGGTGCCCTCCAGCATGCTCGCCCCGCCGGACGTGCCCAAGGACGCGCCCAAGGACCCCGCGCCCGCCCCGCCCGCTCAGCCCCCCGCCCAGGAGCAGGACTGCGTGGTGGTCATCACCCGCGAGGTGCCCCACCAGACCGCCTCGGACTTCGTGCGGGACTCGGCCGGCACCCACCGGGCCGAGCCCGAGGCCTACGAACGCCGCGTGTGCTTCCTGCTGCTGCAGCTCTGCAACGGGCTGGAGCACCTCAAGGAGCACAGGGTCATCCACCGGGACCTCTGCCTGGAGAACCTGCTGCTGGTGCACTGCACCCCCCAGGCCTCCCCCGGCTCACCTGCCTCCTCCTCCTCCTCCGCCACCACTGCCACCAGCACCCCTCCCTCCACCACAGGCACTGCCCCTGCTGCTAGTCCCACCCCCGGCCCTTCCACCACCCTCCCCGCCAGCGTCACCCCCAGCCCCCCACCGCCCCCCACCTGCCCGGGGGCGCCCAGGGAGGAGCACCTGCCCCGGCTCATCATCAGCAACTTCCTGAAGGCCAAGCAGAAGCCCGGCAGCACCGCCAACCTGCAGCAGAAGAAGAGCCAGGCCCGGCTGGCCCCCGAGATCGTGTCCGCCTCCCAGTACAGCAAGTTCGACGAGTTCCAGACGGGCATCCTCATCTACGAGCTGCTGCACCAGCCCAACCCGTTCGAGGTGCGGGCCCAGCTGTGGGAGCAGGACTACCGGCGGGAGGACCTGCCGCCGCTGCCCGCCCTGTCCCTCTACTCGCCCGGCCTGCAGCGGCTCGCCCACCTGCTGCTGGAGGCCGACCCCATCAAGCGCATCCGCATCGGGGAGGCCAAGCGGGTGCTGCAGTGCCTGCTGTGGGGGCCGCGGCGGGAGCTGGTGGAGCAGGGGGGCGCAGGCGCCTCGGAGGAGGCACTGAGCAGCACACTGCACAACTGGATCGACATGAAGCGCGCCCTGATGATGATGAAGTTCGCGGAGAAGGCCGTGGACCGCAGGCGCGGGGTGGAGCTGGAGGACTGGCTCTGCTGCCAGTACCTGGCGGCCGCCGAGCCCGGTGCCCTCCTGCAGTCGCTCAGGCTCCTGCAGCTGCTGTGAGCGCGGCCCCCGCCTGCACTTTGGCTGTCTACCCGCTTCGCATCCGGCCCCTGCCCGTGGTCTGACCCCGCCGCGCCCTGCCTGCCTCAGAAAGCTTTGTGTCTCCCTGGGGAAATGGTACAGTGACTGTCCTACGCGGATGTAATGTGTATATAACGTGTGTCCATGGAAAAGGCTGATGAGGGTGTCCTTGCCGCCCAGGGCCCCCTCTGCTCCCGGGTGCTCCTGGTCTCTCCGCGGTGATGCACGCTCCGGCTCAGTCCAGGTCCTGGGGACCCGGCTGCCAGCAGAATGAAGCCTGGATCTCGTCACCTTCCTGTCTAATTGTTATTTAAACAAAACAAAAAAAGTCATTAAAAATTTTTTGATTGAGTCACGAGCAAAGCTCTTTTATCCCCAGGTGTCCAAGTGCATGACTGTCTTTGGTGGGTAAAACTGAAGCGGTGGCTGGGCCCCTTGGAGTGGCCTTGGTCTTGCCGTTCTCCCGATAGAGCAGCAGGTCTAGCCCAGGCTTGGTGGGGCCTGTCTTCCCCGTTTCCCTCCCAATTCCACCCCCACAGTCTCAGAAGGAATCTAGATGCGGCTGGTGTGGTCCCACAGGTTGGGAACTCAATCCCACTGCTCCAAACCATTTCCACTTGGCTAACGCGGGTGTTGGTGAGAGGCCTGGATGAAAACAGAATCCACTCCAGATAGTTTGATGTAAAAACCTTAGAAAGGTGGGAGCAAGGTTAAGGGAAGAGACGATGATGAGGCAGAGGCTGGCACGGGAGAACCACCTACTCTGTTGCCACCTGTCATCTCCAGGCCAAGACCAACGGGACACCAGACAGCCAGGGAGGAGGGTGGGGGGATGCCCTGGGCGGGATCAGCCTCCCCGAGCAGGGAGAGGGGGTGAATGGTGGGGGTGGCAGTGGACCCACGGCTCACTGTTCTTCCTGTACTAAGTCATGGAAAGGCAGCAGTAGAACTCGGGCTCTCATTCCCAGACCAGCGCTCTGCTGTTCTAAGTTCCTTCCGGTTTCCAGTTTTAAAGACGCATACGTTTAACCCTTATTGGCACCTGCTGTCTACTACAGTCAGTGTGTTACCATGCCTTTATTTTTTTTTAAAGGATCATATTTTTTATTTATTTATTTTTAAAATCTATTTTATTGTTGTTGTTTTTTTACAGAGAGGAAAGGAGAGGAATAGAGAATTAGAAACATCGATGAGAGAGAATCATCAATTAGCTGCCTCTTGCACACCCCCTACTGGGGATGTGCCCGCAACCAAGGTACATGCCCTTGACTGGAATCGAACCTGGGACCCTTCAGTCCGCAGGCCGATGCTCTATCCACTGAGCCAAACCAGTTTCAGCTACCATGCCTTTATTGTTTTATTTTTTATTTTTTTTAAGAAAATGTTTTTATTGATTTTAGAGAGAAGAGGACAGAGAGGGATAGAGAGACAGAAGCATCGATGAGAGCGAAACATCACTAATTGGCTGCCTCCTGCATGCCTCCTACTGGGAATCACGTCTGTAACCTGGCATGTGCCCTGACCAGGAATCAAGGAAGTGTCCTCCTGGTTCATGCACTGACACTCAACCACTGAGCCACATCAGCAGGGCATGATCCTTGTTTTTATTTTATTTATTTATTTTTTTTTTTTAAGAAACTGTTTATTTTCCATCAACCTTATTTCTGTTCAGTTGAGACTTTGTGGAAGAGCAGCTTAGGCCACTCAGTGGCTGTTCCTACCCATTCAGGAGCCTGAGTGGTGGGGGCTGCAGACCAGTCCTCAGGGGCAGGCTGAGCCCTCCAGTCTTCAGTAGGAAACAGCTGACTGGGCACAGAGGGCACCTGTGCCTTCAGACCAGTCTGCGACCTCAGACTGCGCAGCAGTGAACACGGGAGCAGGAGCAGTCCCTTCACCCTGAGATTCCTCCTTGGCCACAGCCTTTCCAGCCTCGACTGCTCTTCCTTTTCAATCTCTTCGGGATCTCTGTAAAAGGGAAGATCAGGCATGACTTCCCACAGGTGTTCACGGGAGATGGTGCCACGCATGCGTAGTACTTCCCGGGCCAGCATCCACCATATCAGACCCACTGAGTGAGCCCCCTTGTTGTTGCAAGGGATGGCGATGTCCACATAGCGCAGAGGAGGGTCTGTGTTACACAGAGCAGTGGTAGGCAGGTTAGCATAAGACGCCTCTGTGAGAGGCTGCTGGGCAGCCCTGGGGTCAGTCACCACCAGAAGTCTTGGCTCCCGGAAGGCTGCCTGAATCTGGTTGGCGAAGGTTCCTGGAGTGACGCCGCCGGCAATAGGAGGGGCTCAGGGGCAGCAACAAACTTCAGCACAGCTCGCTGGCCAGTGTCCTGGAGATGACACTGATGTCAGCGGGGTTTTCAATGGCAGCAATGGCCCGAGCTGCCAGCAGAAGCTTCTCCCAGGTTCTCTTCAGATTGATGATGTATAATAGATGCCATCGCTTTTTCTTTTGTAGATGGAATACAGGACAGTACTGACAGGGTAGTCAGATGACTCCAAGTTCTCGTGAATACATCCCTCCTTTCCCGGTGAAGGAAAAACATTACCCAAAAGAGGAACTTGTCCTCCTTATAGTCTCCATTTCGGTTGTGTCTGTACCCCACAGGAGTATGAAGCTGAACGGTTGTATTATTGATCACTTCTATACAACACTCTTGATCAGGAAAGCTCAGTGGGCACACCCTACAGTATATCCCAACTGGGTCTTTACGACTCGTTTAGGATCCTTTCTTCCCTACAGGTTTCCTGGGTGTCTTAGTCCTCACTGGCTTCATGGCAGCAAGCTGCGCGCTGCCCAGGTGTGCACGCGGGATGCCAGGCTCGGCGGGGAGCCAGCTACCATGCCTTTAAAATGCACACAGGAAAAAAAAAAATGGACACAGAACTAGGAAACACCAGGACTTCTCCTCTTCAAAGTGACCTGAGGTCAACCGTTACTCATTTGAAGGAAAACAGCCCCCAAGGCCCACGTATTCTTATCGAAAGACACTCTTCCAATTTCCGAACGAATTCCTAAAACCGTGTTATTATGGACAATTTGAGACAAAGGCAAAGGTTTGCATGGATGTCCTAAACATCTGGGGATGTGGCTAGCAAGCAGGGTGGGGAACTCTGCCAGATCCCCATCTGCATGTCCATGTCCATGCTTTTGCAAGCTCCGCCCTCCTGCCTGGGATGGTAGGTAGACATTCCATTTCCATGCATCTGGGTGAAGACGGCACCTGTGGTCACATTTTTTATTTCAGTTGTTACTTGAGCATTCAGGAAAGAACTGGCTAAAGCCCACTTCCAACTCCTTTTTGGAACAAGAGAAAAGAGTCTTTGAACGCTGGACTCATAATTCTCCACAGGACCTAAGTTTCAGAGGGTATTATTTTGTCAGTTGTTTGTTCCTGAGAATTTTCCAAGCAAACCCTCCACTGTGGAATTGCTGCTCTGCTTTCTTGTTCTTTCTCACTTGGGGGAAATAAACAATGGGGCGGGAGGAGACAAATAGTCCACCAGGGGAGTGCGGTGCCATTTGGAAACACATGTCAAAGGCACATTTGAAATCTCTGAATTAATTGCACCTTTTTTATATGCCACCCACTTCATGGGGGGGGGGGGTGCAGGAGGGGAGGTTGTAAAAGAGTTTTTAAGAACCAAAATGAACCAAAAAGTAAAAATGCAGGAGGAGAACATAAGCAATACATTCTGATTGAAAAGAATGATAGCCATCAAACATAAAACATACTGCCAAGCCAGGAAAAGTAGAAGACAGCTGACTGCACAATTCTGTGTGTCATTACAGGAAACAGTTCCTGTAAAGGAAGCCCATTCCCAGTGCTTGGTTCTGAAGTGGATTTGTCCAGGACTTCCATGTTTAAAGACATTTTTCTAGGTGGGGCAATTGCTTATACGCGTTCATTGGTGAGTCCAACTAAGTACCGTTCTAGCCAGTTCCATCAAGGAGGTTCTCTAGGGTAGAAACCATTCATCTCCACCAGTTGGCTTTTCCCATAAATGGTCCTGTGGCTACAAACACTAGGTTTGGCAGACAGCTCCAGTTGCACTAAATTCCGGGGTTCAATAGAACTTCTTTTGTAACTTCAGAGTGCACCTGGGATGTATGGCTTCATCTCTCAGGAAGCTCAGCACCAACTATTGTAGATTTGGTCAGAAACAGCAGCTTATTCCACAGGACTGAGGTTCGGCAGTAAGGGTATTAAATATCCAGATGCCATGAGGACAGTCTCATAACATCTGGTTATTTAATACTCCTGGTATCTGTGAGTTCATCTCTTTTCTTGGCTTTAGATCCAACTACTGGTATTGAAATCTTGTGGTTCTTTTTTTTTTTTTTCTCTCCCGCTCTGAGTCAGGTCGCCCCCATATCCTCTTCACATTTGTAATTTCTGTTGTTAGTGTGCCTTCCCCTGTTTCATGCCAAGATGTGGATTCTTTTTTTTCTTCTTCTAAATTCTTTCCTGTAGGCATTATGAAGCTGTACATCTGAATTGTGATACCCTTGCCAGAAGCAAAGATAAGCACTTCAAAGATTATTTACTTATCATAACCCAAGGCTCAGATCTGAGAAGATGGGGCTCTGGGGAGCTGAAGTACTGTGTAACACTTCCTGGTTTTCAAGAACTTAGGCCTGGAATATGCTCTTTTGTGATGTCCACATGGCCACCAAACAATTAGGAGGGTTTCGAAGAGAAAAGACACATGTTACTTGAATAACTTCTCCAAAATTTCTTCTTTAAATATATAGCCAATAAATGAGGCAGCCCTTCCTCACTCCGTTGAATAGCTATAAATCCTTGAAGATCTAAAGATGAACTTATTAAATAACTCTTACTAAAAATGAGTAACTTTGTAATGTAAAAAATCTGCTTGGCATATTTAATAAAGAGTGATGTGAATGGAATTGATTCATTAGAAACCCAAATCTAACCCAACTGATGTCATTGCTAAAAATAAAAGAGAAGAATAACACATTTGGGGGAATTTCCATGGGGTGAATGTCTTGACAAATTACTCTTTCTTTCCTTCTCTTTTCCAATGCTAATTAATGAGGGTAAAGGACAGCAAAGGAGAACTATTCCTGGCAGAAGGTATCCTAAGAGGATCCTTGCCCTGGGAAGGAGGTTAGGAGGTAGCCTGATGGTCCAAGGAAAAGGAGTCCAAATTAACCCAAACATCATTGATTTAGGAGGATCTAGGTTTGGGCTAGAATCTCCATGATCAATTTGGATCCTTACTGGATTCTGGACACTCAGTCTTCTCTGATTTGCACCTTTTCTCCTAGGACTTGACTACATCTATTCCACTTTCTAGTGTAGAGGAAGCAAAGGTCAAGTTTACTC